TTCAGAACAAAGCATTGGGACCCTAAGTCTAGAGCCTTTAGACTTCCCCATATGGCTATTTGGTACAGAGACCTTCATGAGACCCTGGCTGCTGTCATATGGTACAGTCCAAAAGGAGAAAGTATCACAAATATCAGACTCTCCTACATTTTTTACCCTCCCATCACTGACACAGACAAGCACAAGACGCCTTTCAATTTCAGGCCCCAAATCAAAGCACTCTTCCTTTTCTGTTTTAGAACTCCCTCTTCCCTGCCTGGGCCCTTTAGCTAACTTTATACAGTTGCTACTTTTGTTCTTTATTTTTCATTATAGCTTTTTCTCCCTTTTCAATGTCAACACCAACATTGTCTTACCCTCAAGCCTGTTCTGTAAAGGGCCAGAGAACCTATATTTTAGGCTCTGTGTTTCATTGCATCTTCCTATTCTTTTCATTATTTCTTTGTTTCCTTCTCCCACCCATCCTTTTCTGTCCCCCCCCCCTTTAAAACAACCCTTAAAAATAAATCATTCTTGGTGCAAGAGCCATGTAAAAATGGTTCCATGGGCCATGCTTCGTGTGGCGTTCTGGAGGCAGCATCAGCTGGACAGCTCTGAAAATGGTCCTTTAGCACTATTGCCTCCCTCTGCCTTCCTGACACAAGGGTGTAGGTCCCACATCTAGGCCTTGGGGAACAAGGCAAGTTTCTTAGCCCTCAGTAAACCACTGCCCCTCTGGCCTGCCCTCACAATGAGGCCCATGAAGCAGACCTAAAACCCAGTTGGAGCAGAAGCCCGGCACAGCTCCAGGTCCCCCTGACTGTTTGCTTTACAGCATCCTTGTACACAGGCCTGGCTAATACATCACACCCACCTTTCCTCTCTGACTCAGGTCATTGATGGAGTGGCCCCCAGGATCAGGCTGTTTGAAGGGTGGTGTGGCACCATCACACAGGAGTCTAGGCAGCCAGGAGGAGCTGTAGCACACAGCAATGCTTCTGGCCCTCAGGAGTGGAAACCAATGCTTCCTTGCTATGGGGTCTCTGGTAACCAGCACAGGCCCTGCATGGAGAGAACCATGTTGTATTTCTGTGAAAGCCTCAAGTGACCTCTGTTTGGATCCCAGTAAAGAAAAGAAATGCTAGGGTGACCCACCATCCTGCTGTGACCAGGACTGTCCTGATGTGTGCTCTGAACATCTGGGTCCCAGAGGAGCCCTCAGTCCTGGGTGCACCACAACATGGGATACCTTCCATGGACTCAGGCCTGGGCTCAGTCTGGAGCTGGGGCACATCCTGGAGCATGAGAGAAGGGCTCTGCTGTCTCTGAGACAGACCTGTGAGTTTCTACCTGGCTGTACCACTCATGGGAGGTGGGAGGAGGCTCTAAGGTCTCCAGACCAAGGCTACACCTGAGACCAATCACTTCAGTGACCTGGAAAAGCTGTTTAATCTCCTTTCCTAAAGCCTCAGTTTCCCTATCTGTGAAATGGATCAACATCAGTGCCTCCCAGCTTTCAGGGTGAAGTGAGCAGGGTCATGACTATCCTGAAGGGAACAGTCGGCTGGATTTTTTCAGTCCTCCAGGTGATAATGGTGTGCAGTGAATTCCGGGGGATAGATACTCAGAATTCTCTGGCAGCAGATGTAGGAGGCTGGGGCATTGCACCATATATAGCCTGTCACTGAGGACAGGCCAGCAAGCACTGACAGAAGTAGACATTGGCCCCTGGGAAGGCTAACTGAGCCTAGGCTTCTTCTGAGATAGGACCTGTGACTGCAGGCAGTCTTGAACCCACCCACCCTTACTCACCACAAGCCTCCCAGAATCTTCTGCTTACACCACATCAGAGAGAGACTCTCAGAGCAGAGAGCATTAAGTAGATAGATGAGGCATCCAGAGCACTGAGTGTTGTATCTCACATCTTGGAGCCCATAGCTTATTCCCTGATTCTCTGCACAGCACAAAGAATCACTACAGACAAGACTGACAGGCTCAGCTGAGGAGAGATCTCTGTGTCTGCTCACTTCACCCTATAGCAAGCTAGCCAGGAGGCATCACTATTGCTATTTAACAGACAAGGCAACTGAGGCACTAGGAGAGACTAGACATCTTTTCTGGGTCATGAGGTGCAAGGACCGTGTTGAACTTGGCCTCTAATGACAACTCCATAGGCTCAGAGAGGTTCAGCAACTCTTGGTTAACACTGCTAGTGAGCAGAGTTCTCTCTACCCTACACTGCACACTGTACCAGGTCCAAGACCTGCATTTACAGCTGCTCTCTGCAGGGACTGGCAGGCATCTTCCTATTTCCTCTCCTTTGGCCTGGGGTCATTCCCAAACATTTCACACAAGAGGAAGGGTAAAGTGACATGCATATCCTGGATTTATGCCCACAGCACTCCTTATGGGAGCCAGAGGCAGGGAGAGCCATTGGATGAGCACAGCACTGACATATTACCCACACCATCTGGGCTTGTTTCCTCATGTGTGTGTGAAAATAATTAAAGCTACTGGTTCTCCCTAAGGTGAGGTATGCTACCCAGGGGAGGAAGACTTGGCAGGGGAGGGAAAGCAGCAAAGGAGGGAACAAGAAGAGGCACAGCAGCTGACAGAGGCAGGAGGTGCACCTGACTGGCCCTTAGGTTTTGCCTCACTGCCTGCTGCTAGGACCCTGATCATTTTGTCACAGCTGCTGTGCTTTAGGGCCATTTCTATAGAAACCACAACCTCCACATATCCTTCCCATTTTAAAGGAACACAAAAGACAGCTAGACAAATCAGTGACATTGAGGATCCCAAATTCAGCCACTGAGGCTCCCTTGTCCATTTAGCTCAACCCTGGCATGGCTCAGCCATACCAATGCTGTGTGCATGGCCATGAATATGGGGGTATTTGCTTTTTATATAGCTCATGTTCCTCCACAGGGTTTTAGAATTTAGTTAAATGGCAGCAGGATCGTCTCATGTTGGGTGGCCCTTTCTGTTATGCAGTAATAGGCACACAGGGGTCACATCAGAGCCTGTCTTACAGATGGACTCAGCTGGGGCCACTTACCCAGGCCCTGCACACCAGCCTGGTCAGAAGCAGGCACACAGGCTGGCTCAGCCTATTTGCCCCTCTCCACTCTGGCTGCCAGCTCTTCCAGGGCACACAGGCCAGTTGCTCAGAACTTTCTATAGACTACTGTGCAACTTACAATGAGAGTTTAATAATTATAAATGCCAATAGCCATCATTGTGCTCCAGAGGAAAATTTGAAGGACCCTATGACCCAAGGCCTCACAAAACCCCTTCCCTATGTGGCCTGGGAAGACCTGCATATGCAGGCAAGGGGGAGCACATGAGTAGACAGGGTTGGTCTGGGTTCTAGATGACCAGCCCTGTCATCTCACAGGGGCCCCAAATCCATCCTATTGGTGAAGGCATTCTGTGCCACAGCTTGGATGTACACATCAAATCTTGAGGGCCTGGGAATTTCAAGGGGCTGGTGGGACACTTGCTAGGGTTGGCACTGCCCCATGACCTAGGGAAATGATGAGCCTGGGTATTCCTGCTCTCTGTTCTACAAGCCTGAAACCCATCCCCATGATGCCAGCCTGGCACATGGAGGCCTGTGTGTTGATGAATGCGTGCCTACAACGGGGCTAGATTTTTCCAGGTGCATGATCACAAACCCTACATTTGATCCCCTATCACAGAACACTGGGTCTGAGTCATCTCCCCATAGGAAGTCCAGCCTGGTGAGGAAAAGGATCTATGAGGTGCTGTGGCCATGGCAGGACCTATTGTCTGGCATGCCCTAGTTGCCCTGGGTAAGTCCGTGGGCTACTCCAGGGATGTATATCATAGTGTGATGCCCAAAGTCAGTGAAGTGACAGAGTTAGGAAGGCAGCGTTGGACCAGTGGTAGAGCTGGGGGTGGGTCTCTGGTGTGGCCAACTATAGCCACCACACTGAGGCCTGTAGAAATAGCATGTGGCAGTTCCTCCTTAACTTCTAGCCACTCAGCATCATCCCTTACTACTCCCAACAAATGAATTAAATTGGAACAGAGAGGAGACAGGTGAAAACTGCTTTTCTTGACCTCTTGCCTTTTTTTTATGACATTTATTAAATTCCAGAGCCTGGCCACAAATTTCACTTCGAGTCAAATTGATGGAAAATAGGCCTCAGGGTCCCAGCCGTCTCTAAAATAACCCAATTCAGCACTTTATCTTTGTGACAAAACTGGAGCATGACTTTAAAAAAAATCTCTTCCCTTCCTGCTCTTGGAGCTGAGTACAGGAGAGCCAGACTGCAGAGCACAGACTGTGAATCTCATGGGTTGCTGACACTCATAGGCCCTGCTTGTTTATTTTCAGAACTCCAGGGAACACTGAGGGTGTGAGCTTCAGACTTAGTTCCCACCAACAGCAGGATGTAGAGACCAGATGCTCAGCAGCCCTGGCTGGTTAACTGAAAATAAGGCTGCCTCCCCTCAGTCCTCACCTGTCCCTTATCTGACTGGTGGAAGCAGAACTGGTACCATGAAATAGAAGGTACCTATTAGAATATTGATATAAGGACTAAAAAATGTAGTCAGTTCTCATTCTGAGCTCTAGCTTTTTCACTGTCTGTTGAGAGAAAGGAGTTGGCAAGTGCTAACTCCTAAAAGCATCCTAGCATTAAACCAAGATATTTTCCATAACACCATCAGATAGACTAAATGCAAACTGAGATGGGAGAATGTTATTCAAAGGCTACTGTGTGACAGACCATTGAAAAGCACCTCGCCAAATGCTGACAGTATCAGTTGCATATTTATTCTGTTAGTGACAGGAAGACACCCTTACCAACCTCAGTGGGTCCTGGAGACCAGGCAGTAAGAAGGGAATCATAGTTTACCCCCTAGGGTCTGCTGCCTTGGCCTCCTTCTTGCTAGTTCAGGGGACAGGGTGCTAAGCTCCAAACTGAGGATGGAGCCCTCAGACCCAAGAATGGATACCTAGCTTTTCCCTGTCTGTGCCCCAAGGACATTACCTGGGCAGGAGCACTGCAGGACAGATGAGTCAGGTCCCCGATCCTGGCCGCAGCCCAGGGATCACTGGAGCTGATCAGAACTGGAGCACTGATTTCCATGGAATGCCTGTGGCTGGTGGCCTGTGAGGACCTGTGTGTCACACTGAATATGGTAAAGGAATGGCATTTCTTGATGTTCTTCTTGCTGTCTGCATGCTGTTGAAAGGCACTGACTGCCCCTGTGCTGCTTAAAGTGGGACGTGGGGCCATACTGGCCACTGTGCCGGGGTCAGAGGGCAATGAGGCATGGCAGCCAGATACAGCAGCTGGGCAGAGCTTGTCCATCTCAATAAGCTCCTTGGCAGAGTCGTTGAGCTAAGTGAGAAAGGGAGAAAGAGGGCTTCATTAAATAATGATCACAGGCTACATCCAGCTTTATGAGCTCTTCCAGCCTGCACTCACATTTAAAAATTGACAATGTTTTCAAACTGGTCAGATATTTCTAATAGGGCATCCAATATGAATGGTGTGGTAAAAGCACAACAAAGGGTGACATGCCATCTGAAGATTCTACTGAAACACTTTCCATAGCAGTGGTACTTTCCAAGAGCTGGCTACCACATCTGCCCAATGCAGCCCCAGTCTTTTCCTGGCTGCCAATTTTTGAGGGACCAGAGAGAGAGGAGCAAGAAATGCCCAACAACCGTCCAACATTCACCATGACAACAGGTTCCTGGCCTACCTTGTACCATCTAGTCACTCAGGTAGGAGAATTCAAGGCATGTGACCATAACGCACTTTCTAACCACTGGTGATGCAGGTGGCAGGTAAGTGCGTCCATGTGAATAGGAGCCATGGGTATTCTTTTGGGTAAGAGCCTGCAGCAGGATGCCAAGACCCAGGGCTACCCTGACTCTGACCCATGAGGAGTCAATACTGCCTTATTTCCAGCAATTTACAAGGACTCAGGGCACAACTCCTTCCCTGCTCTCATACCTACACCACAAAATAGCAGGTGCCCTTACAGAGAAGAGTTTGATCCTGCTTGAGTCCACACCAGCCTGTGGTAACTGGGTGTTACTACTCCAGAGACCATGCTGGAAATGTGTGGAGGATGAAGGGGCTCTTGGAGGAGAGGGGTCTTGTATTCCTGTTAGGGGTCAGGCAGGGCCTCTGGTTAGATGAAGGGTCAATTCATCTTCCAGGAGCCAGAGTATGCCCCTTCCTATACTTGGAGCAAGTTTTCCATTCAAGGTGTATGGCAGAGCCCCTTCCTTCTGGAGCTGCACTTGGCTCAACCTAACTTCATACCTAAAGGTATGAAGAAATACCTTTACAGTATTTGAAGAAATGAAGCAGAGGGAGCCAGTTTGTTCAGTGTGGCCAGGAAGAAAATGTGGTATGAGAATGTGCTTGGGACCAGCTCCACTAGATAGGTTAGAAAAATTCTATTATGCTAGATAAATGTCTGTAGAATCGTATTCTTTCTCCCTCATCTTTTCAGAGGTAGCAGGAGAAACAAAGTGCATGCCAGCTAGCCCCCTGGGACATACCTCAGGAAGCATGAAGTTAAGCAGGAGGGAACTTGAGTCATTGTTTTTTGTTTTCTTCTCACCTGACAGAAAGGGTGTGAGAGTCACGGCTTGAGCAGGCCTGGCACACACCCTGTCCTGCATGACTAGCCTGTGCTGGTGTTGGGAAGCAGAGGCCACACTGATACACCAGCAGGGTGGGTGCCCTGCCCAGCTTCTCAATGGATCCAGCAGGCAGCTGGATCAGACAGTGGCCAGAGCACATGCCAGCACAATGGTTGCTGGGTTCGTAAGGTGGGCTGCAGCACCATTCCTGTGCTCAATTTTTATTTTTCCAGATGTCACATTCCTAAATTTCTAGCCTTGGACATAAGCTCTGTGTGGTCTCCAGGGGAAAATTTTCCCTGACCAATGGGTCTTAAGTCCAGAGACCCAGAGTTTCAGTGTCTAGGCAGAGCCAGCTGCCACATGCCACCCCCCAGCAGGTCTCCACATAATTACCATGGGGTCAGAAGTGATACCTGTTTAGGGCATGGGATGGGAGTCAGAGTGGTCATGACTATACCCACACTCACAGTTTTGTTTTACCAGGTGGGACTATGGCATGTAGTGTCCAGGGAAGAGACCATCAAGGTCAGTGGTGATGGACAGTGAAAGAGAAGTAAGGCACATGAAAGACTAACCTCCCATCTTTACCCTTTGGCTAAGCTGTGCTGCTTTGGGAGCAAGGGAGTACTCAGGGTGCAAACCATGTCCTATGTGCTCCCCTGCCTCCCCTGTTATTTCAGTACACAGTTTCCCCTGCCCCAGGCCACTTCCCAGGGGAGTGGAACAGGTAAGGGAGGTTTTCAAGGTCAGTTCCTGACTCCTTTCCTCTGCACTCACTGCCAAGGTCAGCCCCCTGTCTAAGAGGTCAGGGGAAAGGCAGTACACAGGACCCTGTGGAATACCAAAATATCTGCAAGCTAGGGCAGGTGGGTGGATGAGGAGACCAGAAAGAGGCAAAGACCATGCAGTGCAGAGTTCAGTGCTAAGGGTAAAGCACAGCTCAAGATGCCAGTTTAGAGAAGGGGTGAATCAGCAGAGGTTACTGTGCAGGGGCAGTTTGAAGCTTGGGGAATGAACTAAGCAGAATCTGGAATGATGCATAGGAATCTGATGGGAGCAGAAAGAGCAAGTATGGCAAGGAAATCAACAAAGGCAGGAGGCCTTTGCAAGCAGGTAACGGCAACCTGGAGCCATACCCATGTCCTTGGCTGAGCCTGGAATATGGGCTGGAACCAGGTGGTGGCTAGGCCAGGGAGGTCCATGCCAACATGCAATGGAGTCTGGCTTCAGGACTGGGGTGGAAAATTTCCTTAGCCCTGTGCCATGGAGGAAAACACCAGGTTCTTGCTTAGAGTACACCACTAAGGTATGCCACTGCTAGCATTTTGATAACTTAAAAAAAAAAAAAGACAAAGCTCCACTGAATTGAATCAATAAGAACACAGATATGTCATCTCTATAAGGCCAAGTTGATCACACACATGGATGTTTTCAGAAGGCCCTTGTCTGGGCTACCAGCATTTTCATTACAACACTTGTCTTTCAGAGGGAGATTATAAAAAACTCACTCCAAGCCCCCAAACGCATGATTTAATTCCAGGATCATTTACTTTGAAATACTTCGTCTAACCAGGTTCTACTGTTTTACTCTATTTTATGCTTTTCACTTGCTTCCTCAACAGTCCTAGCTCAAAGAGCACAGAAGCACCTGTTCCTTCTCACAGCCCTGCATGGGGATCTCCAAAGTCAGACTCCTGGACCCCAGTATTCTGTGCTTACCCTACAGGGCCAGGAGCAAAACAGAAAAGCAGGAAGACACAATGCTCCTTATTTATGGGTATCATAATATGGTCTAAACATTACTCATCATATGTCTCCACTTGGAAGGTAATTATGTAGAAATTATGTGCTCAAGGATGAACTAAAATAATTCCATTTCCCCCCAAAGCAGTGGACCTATCTCACTTAGTTCTACCATTACTCTGTTGAGTCAGTATTAGAAATTCCATTCTCAAAACTTGGAAATCCAGGCACTGACAGGTCAGGTGTCTGCACATCCAGAACACAGAGAGCCATAAAGAAGTTGAGCACAGCTATCAAAAGGACTGTGTTGTCTGGTCCTGTAGCAGTGCTGTCTGTTCCCCTGTTTGCCATGCAGCCCAACACACAGCACATGTCAGTCCTCAACATGTGTTCCGGGGGCTGCTTCAAATAACCACACTGCCCTTTCCCTCTCCATGGAGAACCAGGGTGCAGGGGCATCATGCTTCTCTCACTCATGTCTTAACAATCCAAAGCCCACTGTGGGTGCTAACAATGAGGGACAATACATTTCCATTGAATATAATACTTTTAAGAAACCATAGGAAAAATAAGAATTTCTGCTTCCACAGTGGTGTATTCTCAACATTTCATCATGGCCCTAGAGCCTATAACATCTTTGCATCAGGCAAGAGAACTTTCAGTGAAAGGACTACTAATTAAACAAACAATTCAGTTTTGTCATCTTTACTTGAATTGCTGCTGGTGGCAAGTGATATCTTATTGGAGATAGAGATGATAGAAGAAAGACAGAAAGGAAGGAAGGAAGGAAGGAGAAGGAAGGAAGGAAGGAAGGAAGGAAGGAAGGAAGGAAGGAAGGAAGGAAGGAAGGAAGGAAGGGAGGGAGGAAAAAGAGAGAGGGAAAGAAAGAAAGAAAGAAAGAAAGAAAGAAAGAAAGAAAGAAAGAAAGAAAGAAAGAAAGAAAGAAAGAAAGAAAGAAAGAAAGAAAGAAAGAAAGAAAGAAAGAAAAGGAAAGAAGGAAGGAAGGAAGGAAGGAAGGAAGGAAGGAAGGAAGGAAGGAAGAAAGAAAGAAAGAAAGAAAGAAAGAAAGAAAGAAAGAAAGAAAGAAAGAAAGAAAGAAAGAAAGAAAGAAAGAAAGAAAGGAAAGAAGGAAGGAAGGATGGAAGGAAGAAAGGAAGGAAGGAAGGAAGGAAGGAAGGAAGGAAGGAAGGAAGGAAGGAAGGAAGAAAGAAAGAAAGAAAGAAAGAAAGAAAGAAAGAAAGAAAGAAAGAAAGAAAGAAAGAAAGAAAGAAAGAGAGAGAGAGAAGGAAAGAAAATTACCTAGTAATTGACCACCCATGCCTGGAGACCTTGGGTTGCTAGACTTTGACAAGTGCTGTAGAAATGCTTCATCTCTAGGACTTGGTTCCAGAGAACAAAGTTCACTTGTCTAGGGAAGCTGCCATGTTACATGAGGCTAGGAATGGGTCTAGCAGATGGCACCATCAATGGTGTCCAAGTTGGAAAGCCTTTCTCTGGGTGCATACATCTACACCACATGGGCCCATTATTGCAGGACACCTGCACCTACCAACATCTTCCCATGGCAGTGGCTCCTGTTCAGAGCAGCCATAATTTCCCATTATATCCTACTCCAACTGAGGGAACCAGATAGCTCTGCTTTTCCCTGAGCAGGTGCTGCAGCCCTGCCTCATAGGACCAGGAGAATATTTGGGGATAGCTGAGGAGACAATGAACAAACACCTGGGAGGTTTCCCCCTCCTTTCTCCCAACCAGAATAGTAGATCATGCTGTGAGTAGTGGCTGACTGGCAACTGCGAAGGGGTGGACAAGAGCTTCCTGCCTTAGGATGCTCCCCTCTCTCAGCCAAGACACTTATCTGAGAATGAACAGGTGCTGCTGCTCCATCCACATATGGGGTCACCTGATTTGTATCTCAAGTGTGTACCTCCAGCCCATACAGACAGCACACTCAGGCAGACTATACCTTCATTATCCATGAAACTCTAAAAC